TTAACTGTCTGAGCCACCCAGGTGCCCCTGAGCCTCCAACTCTTGATCTTGGCTCAGGTCATGATCTCACGGTTTGTGATTTCAAGCCCCATATAGGGCTCTGTGCTGACAGCATGGAGCCTGCTTGGGATTCTCTCTCCCTCTCTCTCTGCCCCTCCCCTGCTCTAAATTAATAAATAAATAAATAAATAACTTAAAAATAGACCTCAAAGTTCTAAGGGTCATCTGTCTTGTATGGTTAAAGTAACAAACATATTTAAAAATTAATTTTTAGGTGTGACAATGGTTACATTCCCAAAAAAACTCACTACCTTTTAGAGCTACAAACTGTAATATTTACAGACGAAGTAAATGATATCTGGGAAGTGCTTCAAGATACATGGGAGTTGTGGCACCTGGGTGGCTCAGTCGGTTAAGTGTCCGACTTCAGCTCAGGTCGTGATCTCACGGTTCGTGAGTTCGAGCCCCGCATTGGGCTCTGTGTTGACAGCTTGGAGCCTGGAGCCTGCTTCAGATTCTGTGTCTCCCTCTCTCCCTACCCCTCCCCTGCCCACACTCTGTCTCTGTCTCTCTCAAATATAAATAAACCTGAGCACTGGGTGCTGTATGGAAACCAATTTGACAATAAATTTCATATTTAAAAAAATAAATATAAATAAATAAATGTTAAAAAAAATTTTTTTAAAGTGATTGGAAATTACCGAAAATATTTGACAAATTATACTACAAATTACATCACATGATTGGCAGTGTTATAATATATTGTTTTGTTTAGCTATGAATAAAAAGAAACCATTTTGTATTTTGATGGATTGGTTAAAGTATTACTGTACTAGCTCTTGGCATTTTTTTAATATTGTCCTGTGTTTGCCAGACATAGATGTTCTCCTCAAGACTCATACAATATATAGGTGCTAGTTCCAATTCTACTATTTTGCTAGCTGTGGTGACTTTGGGGCAGTTGATAGTGCTACAATTTACTTCGTCATCTGTAAAATGGGTGTAATGCTATTTTGCCTTCCCCAGAGCACGGTTATAAGAATTGAATAAGATAATAAATGCTAAAACGGGGCAAAAATATAACCCAAACAGTAAAGTTGTATTAAATAATGGCAGGAATCGACGTAGTCCCTGGTTGTTGGGAAAAATGACAAAAATAAGAACAAAAATATCTAAGGCAGGTCACAAGTGAGAAAAATAATTATAAAAACAAACACTCGGATTAACTCAATTGATCAGACCTGAGAAACAATTTCCTCCCTGCTGCTCTCAGAGAAGACTGCTCCCATGAGCTCCTGGGGAGATGGTTCTTTTCCTCTGTCCTGGTGCATATGGTCTTGCTGGGCACAGGAGCCCCGGGATGGCAGACTTGGCATGCTGGCCTGGCCCCGACCCCTCTCCCAGTCGTCAAGATGAGAACATGATCAAGTAGCCACTGCCCCTTTGGCAGGACTGACCCTGCCCTACAGCCTGGAGCCACCTGCGGATGACCTACAGCCCCGAGCACAGCTGCCCAGCCAGGGGCGGCCACAGGAGCAAGAAAAGAAAAGGAAATGCCCGTGGCTCAAGCCACTGTGTTTTGGGGTTTCAGCAGCAGTAGATGCAACCCCCAGATGCCAGAGTCCAGCGCTTGTCTTGGTTGTCTGGACCCTGCCTTTCGGTGGCGGGAGCATTCTTCCTGTTCTTCAGGTGAGACAAACATGCCCTTCTTTGAGGAACAGCTAGTACCCAACTCTACAGTGTTTTCATGGAGCGGCCAAAGGTAAAACTGTCCGTGTGTCACATGGCCCAGGTCAGTCCAAGAAGCATCTGTGGTCCCTGCCACCTAAAACATCCGAGAGACCAAACCAAATGGAAACAAGAGGAAGAGCGCAGGGCAGCAGCTGGGTCACGGCCCTCTCTGCTCCTGTGGCTGTGCCGTGATCATGTCCCCCCTTTTGTTCTGAGTAGTCATGTCAGGCGGGGCTCAAAGCAGGAAAAGCAGTCATTCTAGACAGCCCCAGCAGAAAAGGGTCTCCCACGGGGAATTAGACGCTCATGTCATCGGGATGGCTCGAGTCAGGGCTGCCTGGGCTTTGCTGCCATTGCACCTCAACATGCCCACTGGGTCCAAGGTGGGTCTTCTGGGGTCCTGCGGGGTGGCGGGAAGAGCGAGAGGCAGTTCCACTTCCAAACCGGGCCCCCCAGCATCTCATGGCCATTGGCCATTTGCAACCAGAGACAAGGAGGGCAAAAATTCAGTTCAATTTTCCAACCCCTTCTTCTAGAAGGAAGGTGGTTTGAAGGGCCCACATGAAGGTTTCTGCCCCTGTTGGTTCAGGCATGTTCCAAGTAACTTCTTTAAATTTTTTAATGTTTTTATCATTATGAAATATTTCCCTAGGTTGAAGATAGTCGTATTTGGTTTTCGTAATACGATTCAGCCCCTCATCATCATGATTACCCTGCAGATGAAGTAGCCTAGAATCTGGAATTTAGGGACCTTTCTCAGTGTCCCACCAGTGCCAGTCCAGGGCTCCAGGCACCTTGATCCACTTCCTCCTGGATCCCAGGAGCCAGTGGATGCCTGGCATGGGGCATGGCAGGTGGCAGGCACCATAGGTGCTTGGGAAGGCAACATCCTTTACATTGAGGAGAAAGAAAGACGTACCGGAAATTCAATACACTATCTTCAAAATACCTGACCCATTTATTTTCCCACTTATCCCTGAAAAAAGCCAATAAAGCCTTTACTATAAATCTGACAAAACACACCCTTTTCTTTCTTTTCTTTTCTTTTCTTTTAAATCAGGAAGAGGTGTATTGTCACCTGTTTAAGAAATACTTCCATATTGGGGCCTCTGGGTGGCTCGGTCGGTTGAGCAAGTTGAGCATCCGGCTCCTGATCTTGGCTCCGGTCATGATCTCACGGTTTGTGGGTTTCAGCCCCACATCAGGCTCCATGCTGACAGCATGAAGCCTGCTTGGGATTCTCTCTTTCCCTCTCTCTGCCCCTCCCCACTCACGTGTGTGTGCTCTCTATCAAAAAATAAATAAATAAACTTACAAAAAAGAGAAATACTGGGGCGCCTGCGTGGCTCAGTCAGTTGGGCGTCCGACTTTGGCTCAGATCATGATCTCGCGGTCCGGGAGTTCGAGCCCCACTTCAGGCTCTGGGCTGACAGCTCAGAGCCTGGAGCCTGTTTTGGATTCTGTGTCTCCCTCTCTCTCTGACCCTCCCCTGCTCATGCTCTGTCTCTCTGTGTCTCAAAAATAAATGTTTAAAAAATAATAATAAAAAAAAAGAGAGAAATACTTCCACACGAAGCTAGGTCTAATTTGCATATGTTTCAAATTTTCTGTAATGGAAAGGGGTTTTTTATTGATTTTCAATGCTGCCTCTGTCCTAGGGCGCTATGAGTGAGGCAAGCCCTTCCTCTAACCACAGATCTGACCACAGCCCTGCCCCTCCACGTTTCTGGAGAGAAGCCCCACCTGTCCCAGGCTTAGCTTTCAGGGGTGGGCCACAGGGACACCCTGGGGTCTTAGTGCAACTGAAGCCCAAGGCTCTCCCTCTGCAGAGCGTTCTTGCTATGCCCTCTCCTCTGATGGCCCCGAGGCCAGCCAGTAGCCAAATCACCTGTGCGTCACACTGTGCCGTCTGCCCAGCCCTGCCGCCTGGACCCTGGCAATGGCAGGGTGGAGCTGGCCTTACCTTGTTCTAGAAACAGAAAGGGAACCAAGGGCACCCACATCACCCCAGGCTGTGACATGAAAAAGGCATTTTTTTTTCTATTGGTATCCTCGCACTACATTTCCAGCGTCCCTACAACAACAGTCAGGGGCAGGGCTGGGCATCCTCAGCTGTCTGGGCGTCACCCACCTGCTGTGGCATTCCTCAGGCCTGTTGCTGCCTGCCAGGCCTGGCCTAGAAGGCAGATGGCCACATAAAAATAGTCGGGGAGCCCTTGAGGTGCCACTTCTCCAGCTGCTCTGTTGAGTGGAAGCCAGAGGAGACAGGGGACAAGGCATGGCCTCCATCAGGACTTCGGAGCAGAGGCCGGCTGCTCAGTGCATCCATGTGG